ATATAATATACAAGTTTCACTTTTTAAATGGAATTACTGAAATCAATCTACTTTTTCATGATATTCTAATTTTATGACCAGCACCTGTATTTCTTTTCGTAGGAACCGCCTCCGTCACCTATAAGGTAGAGTGATAGCGGCTAAAAAGATGCTAATTGATATTATGGTCTAACGTGCAGTAGCTCCAGGATGTTTTAAAATTGTTTAACAAGTCTACCAAAACACATGCATAGTTTTTCTAGCTTAAAAACCTTGGATTATTTGCTCCCCCGTATCGTACCGGAACTACTTGTGCTCCATTACGTTACCGACCGCTTCATGGCAGGAGGCTTGGTGACAGTAGGGACACTGTTCCATCTCAGCTGTAGAGCGGTTCGTGTCCAAAAACCTTAACTGTCCCTTTACTTTTGAGGATTAATTAAATATTAAGGTTAGATCTTGACTTGTTTTTATTTTTATTTTTATTTAAAAAGATGAGCTGCAGTTGTTGTTAATCTCCTTATTTATCTCCAGTAGAATTTATTAAAATGAACTTGTTTTGAAGCTCAGGAGATTTACAGAATAACAATAAGGGAACGCCGAGGCGAATTGGTGCTGAGAACCACCAAACTTTTTTTTTCAAATTAATTAGAATATTAATAAACAAGTGGATATTTGAGCATGTTGCACTCCATTTTGGGACAACCTTGGGATAATGTGTGAGTATTCGAAACTGCTTAGGATATAAAGCAACTCAACACTATTTCTGACACTTGAATTGAAAAAGCTTCCTGGATGGGGAGCGGAACGTCTGCAAACTTAAAAACAAAGTCAAGTGGTTTGTTTTTTTTACTTTTTTGGAATAGATATTTGAGCCTAACAAACCTATATTCTCACCTAAAACATCTTAAACATTTCCTAGAAAGCATACTATTTAAGTTTTTATTAACAATTTTTCCACCATCGTCAGCTTGACCTATCACACTGAATTATGGGAAATATTGGGCCAGGAAGGATACTCCTGATAGGCCTATATATCCTTCAGATCGTTCAAATAGAGAATGTTTTTGTACACTATGACATAATCAGTCTCCAAATATGAATATAACCCTTGAATTGGGACATTTTTCACAGCAAGCACAAAAACTACTTCCTGTTTTTCTTCAAAATAAGACACTCAAATGTAGACTCAAGCTATCAAACTTGATACACTCACCTTTATATAAGGGCTTCATAATTATATCCGATATTTACGCCACCAGATTACAAATGCTAAAAGGAAAAACTTCTTTCTGATGAGAAAAATCATTTATTAAAAGTTTTTATCCCTCAGCAACCTCATTTTAAAAATGTCACTGCACTTAATAAAGTTTTTCCAAAACCTCCTTAATTGAGCCAAAAGTGATGAGAGGGTTTCTTTATACATCTAGCATCTCTCCGAAATTTTCCAAGACAAATTCTGTTCCTCAGACCCTGACATGTGCGCTCTCCCCAGGTTCCAGTTACTGACATGCGTGGATCTGTTTGATGCCAGCCGGCGTTGGAAAACTAAACGATGTTGGTTTCTGCTGGAGCTGTAACAGGAGGCCACAAAGCCCACCCGCCCACTGAACTAAGCAGTTAAACACCAGCAGAACATTCATGACCTAACCGTTAATCGACGCCTTCAAACGATATTTCATCATTATAGCGTTAATGCTGCTTGAAAACAAACAGCGGTTTTCTGTAGAGACCTCAGAATTTTCCCGTTGACGTCTCTATAGACCTCGGTGGGAGAAGATGCATGTTTGTTCGGTGATGTAGGTTGTCATTAAGTGCCTGACAGCTTTGGCTAAAGCGGTTTATTGTGTGTTTATGAGTTCAGCCCTTCATGTTTGTCCTAATCTGCTATTAAATCAACCTTTAAACACTCACACATAGCTGCGGAGGAGACATGAAGTGCTTCCGCTCTTTGTGCTTAGTTAAATAAGCATTAATTGAGTTGTCTCTTTATAAAAAAGGCCTATTATCACGTATCATAGGGTCACTATTTAATTTCGCCCACAGATTTAGCATCAGACTCCATGCTCTTCCTGAATCTAATTAAACCTGGAGTAACGAGCGGCCCTGAACGCTGCTCAGCACATGTCTTTCCACATACAAACTTCAGAGCGAGTGTGTGGGATAATCAAACAAGAAAACACCAGGACACACATGTGTCAGGCTGGGCGAGCGGCATGCGGGCAGAGACTGAGGAAGCCCACATTTAAAGATATTTGGTGCCTGACGGGAGGAGAAAATGTGTGCTGGGTGATTTGAAGTGGAAAGAGGTGATTCTGGAAGGCAGATGGAGAAAGTCTGTTTGAATTGATTCGTCATTGTTTGCTTGTCAAAGCCAGCAGTTTAAGTTGTAAAAAATTTGTTTTTTTCATTAAGTCGCTTTGTTGTTTTTATTATTCTCACTTTATCGGTATTAAGTTTTGTACCCAGGTGGCTAGCTTTTCCCTAAAATTATCATTAGAAATCAGATTTTTATTCTACAGTTCAGGTAACAATGAGGCCTGGATCTATTTTACAAAATGTAACTAAAAAACTTTTAGCTCTTTTAGCTAGCTGACAAAATAAAGCTGTAATAACTAATTAAGTCAGTTAGCATGGCGGCGCTCCAAGGCAGCGGCAAAGAACAGCTCTCAAAATTTCACGAAATATGCCGCTTAAAACGATACAAACTAGACATCAAACTCACATCTATGATCGCCAACGTCTGCTGGAGCTACGGTCCCGAAATTTTTAAAATTCAGACATTTTAAAAAGCTGCGGAGTGCTACAGACGGATGTAAACAAAACAGCGGAACAAAACAGCCTGAGGAAGAGATGTGCGAGACAGATAAAGCAAGGCTGCAGAGGCTAACGGCAAAACCAAGGAGAAATCCCCACAGACTGCTGCTTCCATCAATCCTGCTCTCCAACGTTCCTTCATTGGAAAACAAAATGGATAATCTCAGACTCGAACTCTCTTCAAAAAAGGAGATATGTGACTGCTGCGCCATCATTCTGATGGAGTCTTGCTGCATCCAGAAATGGCGGACAATGCACACCTGGAGGAGAAGAACACTCGCATGCGGATGCTGTTCCGTGGCTCATCCCACAGCACCTGATGGGCAATCTGAAAAAAAACTGGGCTTCTATACACACCTCAGCAATTGGATGCTAGACTTTTCACCAACAGACCTCAGTCAGGTCGGGTCGGACAGAACACCTCTGATGTCATCATCCTAAGCACAGGCTCCCCTGCTGTTCACCCTGAAAACACATGACCAAGTCCCTATGAAGTTTACAGACGACACCACGGTGATGCGTCTCATCAGTGATGACAACGACCAGGACTACAGAGAAGAGTTGGAGCAGCTGGTGCAAAGATAACAGCCTGATCCTGAACGTAGAGAAGACAAAGGAGATCATCTTGGACTTCAGGAAGAAACGGCCTAACCACGCTCCACTGCTCATCAACAGCTCAGCTGTAGAGGTGGTCTACACCAAATTCCTGGCGGTGCACATCACAGACACCCTCACCTGGACTGTAAACACCACCTCGCTGGTCAAAAGGGCACAAAAGCGCATGTACTTCTTGCAGAGGATGAGGAGAGCCCACCTGCCCCCACCCATCCTCACCACCTTCTACAGAAGCACCATAGAGAGCGTTCTGACTACTGTCTCACTGTGGGATGTGGAGGCTGCAGCGCCTCAGACTGGAAGAAGAGTGGTGAGAACAGCAGATAAGATCATCGGGGCTCCTCTTTCCTCCATTAAAGACATCTCATCCCAGCGCTGAGTGTCCTGAGCCCGTAACATCATAAATGACCCCTCAACCCCCCACCATGGACTGTTCTCCCTGCTGCCCTCTGGGAAGAGGCTTCGAAGCATCCGATGCAGGTCCAGCTGGTTCCAGAACAGCTTCTTCCCCACTGCCATTAGACTGCTGAATGTTGTGTAAAATCGGTTAAAAAAAACCTGAATGTTGGAACTGTAACTATACAGTCATGTGTTTACATCCCTTTTTTCACCACTGTGTTTTATTTCATCACAATGTTTTTTTTTATCACTGCTTGGCTGCTTAGGATGCACTTTAAAAAATTAAAGTCTAGAGAGCTGTACTTAATAAAATTTCTTTTTGTATACACTTGTGTACAAAATGAAAAAATAAAATCTGTCTAAGTCTAAATCACTTTTAGTTTGCTCCAACTGTTTTACAATTTGTTGTCATTACTTTTTGGCAGCTCTTAATCCATTGCTTGTCTTTATCTTTTTTTTATATATATGTCCTTTTTATAACTGACAGATCGTTAGGACAATATGTGAGAGGCAGGCGGTTAGCGAGCAGTTATGATTCATTGTCTTGCTTTAACTGGACTCAATGTAATTATTAAAGATAGATTTGGGCATCAAGCAAGTAACACAAAGCAGTGAAGGAGTGAGTGGGAGATTTGAATAGAGGAGTTGAAGATCATGATTCATCATTGCCTTGTGGGCGCCTCGCTGAGCTGCCCAGCCTGCTCCGTGTTGTGTCTCTGACGCCGTGACCTTCAACCTCGTCATAAAAGACCTCCTGTGGGTTGATGCTCGCTGCTGGTCGCAATGCTAATGAAGCCGCCTGCTAGTCGCTGTCAGCCCAGGCAAAAAGAAAAGACCCAAATATCAGTGACGCTATAGAACTGATTGTAGGCCACAGAAAGCAGACTGACTCTCACTTTGTGTAGATATCTGTGTGCATTTCTACCACTACCTGGTATCATGCGTTGCTGATCAGCACGTGGTTGTGTAGGTGGTAACACACTGCGGTCACTGTGTCATGCCGTCGGGTCCCAAGGTCATGCGGGGGTCTGCAGTAAGCATACAATGATGTTCTTTATGGGTAATATTGCTGATCTGCCCCTTCCTCTGAGCCCCGTGCCTCAAAACATTTCGTCTCAATGAATGTTAAGTGTCATCAGATTCTCACTGCGTCCGTCCTTCGTGCTGACTGTCTGCCATCTTCTCTCCAGATCGAAAATGTGGACGCTTGTCTCAGTTTCCTGGACGCCAGAGGAGTGAATGTCCAAGGGCTCTCAGCAGAAGGTAAGAAACTATTGAAGATTTAAAGCTGGGGAGGCAACGGGTGTTTTTAGTTGTATTCAATTCCTTCATCCACTCCTTTGTTTTTATTTAGTTGGCCATGCCTTCCACACATGTTCACTGCAGAAGTAAATTTCCTGTTATACATACAACATATTAAACATAATGACTACAATACATGTGTTTATGGTGTCAATTAGATAAGGTATATTTAAGATCGCAAAAGGAAATTTGGGCCTATTTACACGTGATGGATTAAGTGAAAGTTATTAAGACTGTCATAAGATGGTGAAGAGTAGGGCTACAACAACAGAGACACCAGCTTCATCAAGTTGAAAAACAGACTTTTCAGACCAGTGCTTAAAAGAAATCTCACTTGATATCTTGATGTCTTGATAATAACTGCTTAAGGATTTCTGTAAAAAAAATTATAAAATGATTAACAAACTGAAATAGACTTATCGGTTGATGCCTGAAAAGAAGCTCGTAATCTGATGCCGTTGTTTCGCAGCTAATGATTAGCAAGGTGAGGGATTCCCAACATTTTTATTGTTTACTTCAAATGCCGCCATCTCTTTGTCTACAAAGTAGCCAAAAAGCACCAACACACTTAATTTTAAAGTATTAAAAACTTTTTTTGATGCTTCTGAAAGCAGATTTTATGAGCTGGCCCATGGGTGGGCAGCAGGGACCAAGACCCTGTAGGACCGCCCCTGTTATCCCCCATCTACTGAAGACATAATATTAAATCTGTTTTGTATGATTGCAATCTCACTAATTTATTTTCATTTTTCTTTTTCTTTGTGCCCTCATGAAAAAAAAAAAACTGACCCCATCCTGGTTCCCCTGGTCAAATTGGAACTGCCACTGAGCTCGTCCGTCAAAAATCTTTTAATAGTAAACAATCGGGCTCCTAAAGAAAATCTTGTCCTTTTTTATCCTAAATAAGGTGGCAGATTTACAGCACTCACCTTCCCTTTTAAAGCCCACTATTATAGCTCAGATTTCTATCAGGAAATCACACTTTAACAGCAAATGTAATTCATTTTTAATTGTTTTAATGTCATGGGACCTCATGTTACACTATTCTTTTTCACACCAATATATATCAGCATCGTAGCTGAATTTTTGTTCTGCTTTATCCTCTCATTGGCAGTTGTTGCAACCTTACCTTAGACTTAAACAACTAAAGCCATCAGATGCGTGTTCTACACACTCCTTCAATTGGATTTGAATCACTTTGCTGTCATCTAGTGAGCAGAGTTGTGCCCAATTATGCCTAATTTGACCAATTTCCTCATAAGTTAAAATTAAAAATCTCTTTTCAGCTGTGAGCATACTCAAACAATAAAGGGTTTGAAGTTATCATGACAGATATTAGGGTACTTTATCTAAATTAGCTAATGTTAGTCCAAGCCTTGCCTTGCCCAATCAGAGTTGGGTAATAAACAGCTACATTTATACACGTAAATTTTGAAAAGAATTTTACTTTTAGAAGTACTTTACTTTTATTGTTAATTTCATTTGAGTACAAAGAGAATAAATATCACTACTCTTACTTTGGCAAAATTTCTTGCTACTCCATCTATTATGAGTAACTTCAATTCATGAAACAAGTGTCTAAAGCGAATAAGCACCATGGAGAGACACACTTTCTTTTTTTGTACTCTAGCTTATTTTTTATTATTTTTTTAGGCTTATTGGCTTAATGTTATTTCCATCTGCTGAGTCTGCCTTGTCATTTGGAGGCTGACCTAATCTACAGTAAAATATATAATATAATTTACCCCATTCTAATACACTGTAACTATTGATTTTATAGATTTTTGAACTCAAAAGAGTTTCCATTACGACTACATTTATCATTGTAATTCTTATTACCTTTATTTTTCTTTAAGTTAATATAATTTTGTAAAACATAACATCAGTTGTTATGATCATAAGGAATAAGTACGGGTCCTTCTTGAAATATTAGCATATAAAGTTCAATATTTTCCATAATTTAATGATAAAACTTGAACATTCATATATTTTAGATTCATCGCATACTAACTGAAATATTTCAGGTCTTTTATTGTCTTAATACGGATGATTTTTGCATACAGCTGATGAATAGTTGTTGCAGTATTCTTACATCAGCAACCATTTAATGCAAAGGTATATTTTTCCAATATAATTACATATTTATGATATTTTACGGTATTAGTTCCAGCTTGTCAAACTTGAACTCAACTTGAATGTCTTCTTATGCCTCTCGGGTCTACCAGTAGACAATGCAAAGTTAAGGAGTTAACATCCTTTAGTAAATGCAAAACTATTCAGGTACCCAAGGGGATGTTTTCAGCTTTTAAAAAAGACCTGTGTCCATTTTCTTCTTTATACAACAAGGCATGAATGTAGTGACCTCTTAAACAGTGGAAATAGTCTGACACACTGACCAGCAGCTCTACATTCTTTGACCCCCACCCCCACCAGCTCTAAAAACAGCAAAGTGACTCGCTAAATCTGGAATTTCAAAGTGGGTCTCTAGATATATGGGCTATTGGGTTACGCTGCTCATTGCTGCTGCTAATGCATTTCATTAGTGCCTTCACTCCCTCGTTCTCTCTTACCGACTCTGCTCTGTTTGTGGTATATCCCTGCCCGTACTCACATGTCTAATTGAATCTGCTGGGGCTTTCCAGGCATATGCATCCTTTATGGCTGGTGTTTTTTTTGTTTTTTGTTTTTTTACAAGGCGCAGGAATTAAATAAAGCAGAGCGTTTGATGTGCAGACAGGAACCCAGAACCTACTTATAGCTATAACTTCTTTGGAAAGCCTGGCTGCGCTTCTCCCGTGGGAGGCTGTAAAGCAAGGTTCCGGCAAAAAGTCGTCCGCTGAAGCATGTTTTGGTTCCCCAACAGCCGTTTCCACTAAGGGAGCTTAAAGGCTATAATAAAAATCAAATCAAAGCAGCGTAAGATTCTTTGTCGTTTGGTTTACTGAGCTTGTGACTAAAGAGGGCAAGACATTAGAGCCTATGCAAGGCACTTATAAAACTACCTAAAATTAATCTGTGCAGCTCAAGGTGACATGAATACTTTTGACATTTTGACCCTGTTTTTTATTTCCATTTTTATTATTCTGCACTTTTACCATATATCGGATGACTTGACATGAAATTTTCCAGCTTTATTGCCGTTCTACCCGCGCATAAGGAATACCTTACCAACTCACTCTGACACATTGCACACATAATAATAATAAAAAAGAAAAATCAAAGTAAGGTAATAAAATGTTTTTACTACCTGAATGTGATAATTATGTGCAGGAGTCATCCACTCCTAGCCTTCAACACAGGTGTAACCCCCGCCCAAATTCCAGTTATTGCTCTTCATAATGAGGAAATTCAAGGATCTTAACTGTGGGTCGTTAATCTTTTTGAGTGCGTGTCGTCTCGGCAGCTAAGATCTTAACAGAACAGGCTCTTAACAGTTTGTTAACTTGTGGACAGCCTATAGTTTGACCTGCTCACCACTGTGAAATCTCCGCTGCTTGATCTCACTGGGTGTGTCGGATTTCATTTGCAACCTTAAACACATTTTTACGTCTTTGTAACCATCATCCAGTTCCAAAGATGTAAGAGTAAAGGGAAGAATCAACTATACAGTCACTTAATAGCTTTACCTTGTTAGAACTGCCTTATAGTCACCAAAATGTCAGAACATTTATCTAAAGGTTATTGATGTCATAAAATCTTCCATTTGCTGCGACTTTTTTTAGATGCAAATCTTTAACGATAATATTTTGTTCCACCACAACCCAAAAATAGCTTATTAGGTTAAACTATGGTTAACATAAAGAATACTAGCATATAGTGAACTCTCTGTTAACAAATAACCATCCCCTGCAGCATTAAGCAGTCATACCAATTAGGTATGTCCTCTATGCTTTTATGTTGTTTTATGCTATATTCTTGCTAAATTGCTTCCATCTGGATATTGCAGCTAGAATAAAGCAGCATCAGAGCAGGATAAGGTTTTTCAATTTTACACTGAGTGTGCACATTTTAATCTCAGTTGCCCAAATCTTACTAACTGCAGTTTTTCCGTTTGTGATTTTTCAGTGCCTGAAATTTATTTGCTTAAAATTTTGATTTGTTGTCCATTTATAAATGATGTTAGACATCCAATGGTTGCTGCTTTCCTATTATCTCAAACCAATATCCTTTTTCTCTTTTTGTTTGTTTGTTGGTTTTGTTTTATAGAAATAGCTCTTATTTGGTATTTTGTTCTTTCGCATCTTCCTTGTTTGAGATCGAATTTAAAAATCCTTGTTTCTAAAACATCAGCCCTTCTTGTACCACCTTATCTTCCCCGTTCTCAGTAAGTAATCTTTACCACTTCTAGAGGTCTTATGGTGAATTCCCACCATTGTGAATTTTTCAACAGAGTGAAAGATTTACATGCTATCCCTGTGTCAATCAAGATTTGTGTAATTCTGCTGAGGTAAACGGTGCTTTTGGGGCGAACACAGCAATGTAAGAGTCCTGCGTCCCCTACGATGTACGAAAGACGAAATTCGAGAAAACCAATCAGGGACTAGGTGTGGCTGAGAAGTACTGTGAAGGAATGCAGCAGGTATAAGGTTATTTCAACCGAAATATGAAAAATTAGATTTTAAGAAGTTTGTGGCTTTTACAAAAGATGTTTTAAAAACCAGGTTAGCCATGGTGAGGGAAACAAGCAAGCAGAAGATTCTGGCCTTTATTTGAATTGCTGTGGCTGGCCAACCAATTGCTGAAAAATTGTGAATCGAGCAAAGCCTTCTAGGGTGGTTGATCAGTGGCATTCATATGGGGTTGGTGGATTGGAGGGGCAGGGGCAGGTGGTCTCCCTATTTTTTGGCCCAGTTGTTTAAAAAAAACGCATGCTACAGCTCGCCATTGGGAGCCAAAACGTGTGCAAAGTGCCCCTATGGGAGCTTATTATAGATAACCAATAATAAAAGGTACATATACTGTGTCCTCACCACTGTAGAGGGCACTTTAGCACTAAAGTCAAATGCTTAAGTGCCCTCTACAGTAGAGGTGTCAAGTAACGAAGTACAAATACTTCATTACTGTACTTAAGTACACTTTTTAGGTATCTATACTTTACTCCATTACTTATTTTTCTTCCTACTTCTACTCATTACATTTTCCCACAAGTATCTGTACTCGGACACAGGCGAGAGCGTATCAGGAGACGGAGACCAACAAGACCTCCCTCATCCTTGGCCCTATCTCAAAGAATTTTTCAAAATAGTCGAAAAATTGAGCTTTCAATTCTTATAGTGGAATTTGGCTGTTTTTTTTTTTTAAAGGTTACTTTATACTTTTATTCTTCAGTAGTTTTTTGGAGCACATACTTTTTACTTTTACTTGAATAAAGAGGTCAAGTTGATATTTCAACTTTTACCCGAATGTTTTAAACTGCAGTTTCTATACTTCTACATACGTAACAAAAGTGTTTACTTTTGACACCACTGCTCTACAATGGTGAGGAAACACTACATGTGTCCTTTCTTTTTTCTTTTAAGAAACTTCAGTTACACAGCATTTTCTATTACTAATGAAACGACCACCAATAAACTTTCTTGTTTTCATAAAATTTCCCCCAATCAGTTATACTGTGCCACACATTAAAAAGCAACAATTTTTTTAATAAACTAGCTGGTTCTGTTTACCCCCCTTATATTGATATTCCATGCAGTAACTTAATAGTCTAACTATTTTACAATGGTATAAAGAAAAACGCTAATGAAATCTAGGCTGTATGAGAGTTTTCTTCAGTATTTTCTCTTGTTAATGGTTATTTACTGAATATTCACATAGACATATTTGGGCTAAAGAAGAGATAAATGTTGGTATAATTTATAGTCTTATTTCAACCCAAGTGTTTTACACATCGAGGCTGACACTGCAGTTTGGTCAAATTAAGAAATCCCCTCCTGCCAACTTTCACTGAGTAAAAATATCACATGTACTGCAGAGCATGAGCACATGAGCAGCGTCTCTCTGCTTGCACATTTTTTTTTTTCAACACTTATCAAAGAGAGTTATTTATCAGTTTCCAAAAGTTTCTATCACCAGCAGCTCAGATCTGTAACAGTGTCTTTCTCTATTGCACAGGGAAAAAAAGCCTCTGTTTAGTGTCTCTTAAAGCCCCAATAGGAATTATGGCCTCTGGCTGTTATAAAAGGGAAAACAATCGCAAGAGATTAATCTAACTTTCACGGTCCCAAGCCAGAGATGGATTAGTATGTGTCCCACATGCAGTTTAAACAAGAAACTAAAGGCCCTGCGTCAGAAGTTGACATTTTTGCCCAGCCTCTCTTACTGTGGACTAGATCTACTGTAAAAAGGGCAGTTTTTAAATGAGTGCTTCGGCCAAAGTTTTGCTTAAAAAGATAGATTTTTCAATTCAGTATGAAGTCTTATATGAATATCGATTCATTTAAATAAAAATTTATTTTTAAAAATGCAAGCTCCACTTCCGTTTAGCTGCTATTACTTTAGACATTTGCTATATGATGTAAATACGATAACAATATCAGTATGCTGCAAATACAGTTAGGTAAATTCATTTAAAAGGGTTTCTATTACCAGCAGACCAAATCAGACACAAGTGCCCACTTAAAATGCATTTAAAATCTTGAGCAACAAATTTTTATCTATTCTTCAAATTTAATCAATGGCCACAGTTGTTATTTTTCAAATATGGTATATTTGTGAGTGTATAAAATACAAAAATAAGAGTTACACCAGGAGAAGCCACAAAAATTGAAATTTCTCAATTTATTTTCAACACACCTATTTCTTCACTGAATATCATTGGCTACAGAGTGGCATGTGGCTCTTTGGATCCACTACAAAGGCTAAAAATGATGTAAAAGTAATAACAGTAAAAGTCATAGAAGCTTTAGTGGTTTTTATAAAAAAAAAAAATCTGATTTGGATTTTAACAACAAAATTAGATTAAAAGAACCAGAAATATGTTTTTAGAGCTATTTTTTCCTTGCAATTAGCTTGGAAATTATGTTTTATAAATTGTTCTTTTTTGTCATTTTAAAATATTCTATAGAAGAAAAATAATACACTTCATATTTTGCAATCATTTTATGTTTTTCCTTATTTCCAAAGCTATAAAGTGCAGATAAACTCTTGGTTGTTTAAGACGGCAGCAGATTTTTCTATTGCAGATGTTGGAGAAAAATAATAGATTGTGTTTTATTAAAATGTCAAATAAAATTTTGCGGCTGGAAACAACTTTTACTTTGCCGGACTCATAGTAAAGTGGCTCTTAGGAAAGCAGAGAATGCAGACCCCTGCGCTAGCGTAACATTAAGTAATGCCCAACGGGAAAAATGATACATGGTTTTCAAAAAAAGTTTTAAAGAATAAAAACATAGAGGACATTAAAAAAAATTCTTTGAATATATTTTGCTACAGATGATGTGTTGGATTAAGGTTTTGTCAGCAATAGTTTTCTTCTGTCTACCTTTTAAAAACAAACAATATTTTTGGAATGAAAAGCATAACTGCACATATGATTTTTGCTCTACCAGAATAAAAGGCAGCTAAACACAAATGCTTGCCAGTTTGCAGATATTTTTCTTTTAAACAATTTTCCAATTGGATCTTGGCAGCTACGTCTTGGTCTTTCACATATAGCACGCCGGAAAAAATACCCGCTCAACAATAATTTACTGAATAATGAAAATAATTTTTCCTGAGTAGTGGAGTCATCTTCAGCAGATAATGCTTGTGGGTAATGGTTCATTTACAGTTCATCCCTATGTTAGCTGCACAACAGCTGCTCTCTAGCTCTCCGTCCCCAAGAGGCCTTTTTTAAAAAATCAGCACATGCTGATTCCATGCTGTTTGAAAGACACAATACAGAGGACGGAAAATATTTATCCTAACTGTCACAAGACACCACTTCAGTCGTGGAATAATGAAAAACAAACTCCTGCACTGCTTTCACTTGCAGATTGGGCTTAATTTAATGAACGTGCTTTGACTCTACTCAGCTGTAAACCTCTTTGCCCCGCAGCAGTACATAGATGCAAGGCCAGCTTGTTAAATGTCACAGCTACTCACCCCTTCTATCCACTTTGTTCTTCCAGAGATCAGAAATGGCAACCTAAAGAGCATCCTTGGCCTCTTCTTCATCCTTTCACGCTACAAGCAGCAGCAGCAGCAACAGCAGCAGTACTATCAGTCATTGGTGGAGCTCAGCCAGCAGCCCAGCAGTACCGCACCATCCACCAGCAGCCTCAAAACACAAGATATGCAGTCCAGGTTGGTTCTTCTCTTCATTCTCCAGGTGATACCAAAGAGGTTTGAATTGGAAATTGCTTGTTCACTTCCATCCCAGGCCTAACTGTAGAGGAAAATCACAGTTAGTGAGGATTTAAATAGATGGAAGACCTTTTTTCACACAAATTACTGCAGATTAAAAATCATACGAATGGCATAAAGTAAAATCCTGGACCTATAATAACAAAACGAGACAAGCTTTTAGCAAAAAACATGAAAAATCCCAAGAATTTCCATTTTCTCAGTGAGCTGTTTTTAGAGTTGAACAAAAATGTTCTTAATTCAGCAATTCATTCAGGTTTACACAACGATGCACACTATGGCTAAAAAACTCACTACTCTGCAGGATACTGCCCATGAGAAAACTTAATATGTATTCTTGTATGTACTAGTGTAAATTTGCTTGGAAACTGCATTTGTCTTAGCACGGTGTAGGTTGGGTAATAAGGTTTTGAATTTTATTCATTGCCTTTCATTGCATCTTTGTTCAGTATCTGTCTGCATGTATAAGGAAAGAACTGTGTCTGGAAATAAAGGTAATTTCTCTACAGACATACATTAAGGTTTTGAATGTCTTTCTGGTTTTTTAAGAGTTCTCCCCACAGCTTGTAGCTCAACAAGCTTAGAAAGCTGATATGAACATTTACTGCTCAAGAGCTGCAACACTTTAAAAAGAAAAAAACAAACTTATGTATAATGAACCCTTAAAGTCCCTCCCTCACTTATAGCTGCACATTGCTGATCACCTTGTTGAAAGAAAGCTCCTACTCTACACTTCCTCCAAGTATTTCTTATCACAAATCATGGCCATTAATGGGCTGGAGACCAATGGTGAGGCTGATTCAAAATAGCAGCTGGGAAGCTTCAAAACACGTAGGCATGTCTGTCATCCAGCTCCACCCTAATATCTCGCCTGTCTATACTTACATTCTATTTCTATTCAAGTTTATTTTGCATTTAGATAAGAAATTTTAAAGACATAAATGTATCTATCTTTGATTGATGATATGACACCACAAATGGCTTACAACATACTTGCTGATGCCTTGAGCATATTTCTTGTCTAATACCATCTGAACTAACAGATGACGGGGGGGAATTTGTTGGAAAGATCTAAACATAAATTCTAGCTTTACCCTTGAGGGAAAAAAACAAAACATGCCTTTTTTTAGTCACCAATGTGTTTTCATTTAGAATATAGTACCTCGCATTGTTTGGTTAGTCATACATAAAAGAGTCTGATAGAAGTAGTCATACCATTAATGCATTTATAGAATGGTTTGTTTTATTTTCTTTTAAAAAACATTTAAAATTTCTCACATTGGGAAAATACCCACCAAGCAAAAATTGGTTGAAAAGATTAAATGATTTAGGTCCAAATAACCTCTACATTTAATTATTGTTATGATTTTCTTAAGAGATCTGACCCACATGCAGTAAACCACTTAAAGAACCAGGGTAAAATGAATGGGGGTTGGATTCAGGAAACTCTGTGTACTGGTGAACCGGAACTTGTGGAGGTTGATCCCCTGCTCAGTGTGAGACTCAAACAATCCTTCCAGGGGTAGAAGGCCAAAACATCCAGCTCATAGGACTTCCTGCCGAAAGGCAAAGACAAAAAACTCAGTTAGGCTCAGTGAAACAAAGACTCAATTAGACTAAGCTAATCTCAGCTTGGCTAGAGTACCCAAAACTGGCAAACACTCTGGCGTCGAGGTAGTGACAGTCCATCGCTCAAATAGTTGTCAGTAATGAGCCAACCAGCCGCAGGTGTGCGGGAAGACCAACGAGAACAGGGCACCACCTGTTGGTGGAGGGAGAGAAAAACACAAAAATACAACCCACACAAACTGGATTCAAATGGACCTACTAGATTTAGCTTAAAAAACAACTTCTTAATGTTTGGTGTTTGCGGGATAAGCTTTAGTTACTAAAATTAGGGCTACAGATTTCTGATTTCTTCCAATGTGTTCTGCCCATTTACACATTTTTATAAAATGTTAGAGAATGGAAAACAACCCAATCCTTTCAAACCACCTCCTCCTTTCAGTCTCTGTTTGGTCCAAACCCACATATTCAGATTGTGATATTGTGTTTTAGAATGCAAAAGCTTTTGGTATAAACTCTACTCTTGAGCTTTCAAGGTAATTTAGAACCAGCGAGATTTTAATCTGAACATTGCAATGTTTATTTCAAACATGTTAACTGCTTTGCCTCTTCAGAAATGAGCAAAATTCAGCTTTATTTCAGCCTTTTTAGATTCTCCTATAAGTATATTTTAAATGTAAAGCAAAATAAAATTATTAGTTCTCGTGACATATTGCCGACTGTTACCGAGCCTACTTTTAATTTTTATGCAGGTGTCTGCAACCTGCGGCTCCAAAGCTGGGTGTGGCTTTTTAGACCCTGTATAATGGCTTTTAATAGAAGTAAAAAAAAAAAAATATATATATATATATATATATATATATATATATATATGAAGAACTAATATACTTTAATTGCAAACACCAGTTTTAGGAGCTTTAGTGTTTTTTATAAAGAATATTTGAACTGAATCTTTAAAATAGAATGACATGAAAGGAATCTGAAATACGTTTTTAGAGCCATTTTTCTTTTAAATAGCTTTGAAATTACGTGTTTTATCATTATTTTAAAAGCTAAAAATACCAATAAACTTTCAGCTGTTTAAGATGGGGAAAGATTGCCTACGACACATATTTGATAATATGTTTTCTTTGATTAAAAAGTCATGTTATATTTTGCGGCTCTAAATGACTTGTACATAGTCTGACTCAGTGGAAAATCGCTCTTTGGATATGAAAGGTTGCACACACCCAGTCTAGTAGATACATTATAACAAAAACACTAGATATCTTTTCTATGTTAAGCTGTCTTCTTTGCATGCATACAGCCCCCCCCCCCGATTTAGCCAATCAATAACTCTGTGTGTGATGTAGACACCATTTCCTGTCTATTAGCTACTAGTGAAGTGTCATGAAATACAAGAAAATAAAAATTGGAACAATTAATCCGTGAACATTGAAGGTTTTAAAGATCATGTTACCCGCTAACATGCTCTTTCAGTTGAAAGGTCAAAGAGCCATTTGCTCCTAAAGATTCACAGATTATCAGCTGAGTTGATAGCAGACAGACACGATTGTCCGCTTGACATTTGCTTCGACCTCCAGAACGATTAGTCCGGGGGGGCTGGAGAGACAAAGAAGGGAAAGAGAATATGTGGAAACGAAGCAGCGTGCTGCACAAACACCTCGACTGAATCAATCTATTCCACTTTATTCAGCAAATACATCATTTCGAAACAACGCTAATGAGGCATCCGCTCAACTTTCCCACCATCTAAACTGTGCACCATGTGCATGTGTGTGAAAAGCGTCTCCAGCTGTTCCCCTGATAACCTCTGACACTAAAACGCATGCCACTGACCCCAGCTTTCCAACCCCTCTACCCTAAACAGATGGAAGCTGACGAGATCCTATTGCTGACCCACCTCTGCTTATAAACAGAGGGCAACTGAACTTATGGAGAGGATTTTACGCATGCAGAGAGCATGGTCCTGCCAAAGGAACAGCGGAGGAACAGAATCTGCTCAGGGGAATGCTGCTTATGTGTGGCATGGCAGACCTTCCTTTAGATGCTCCGCTCTGTCTATTTACATCACACAAGGCCAAACCTCTTTCCTTTTACTGCCTCCGTACTGCTGAGCTGACTTTCTGCCAAAAAGCTCTACTGTAAGGTTGAACTGTTGAACCAACAAAAACAGCTGCAAAGATCTCTGATTCAGACTATCGAGCGCAGAAGCCTCAGACACTGCTGATAGAGCAGTGAAGGGTATGAATAATATTTGACTGGAACTAATCTGAGACTCTAAAACAACCCCACAGAGTATTAGTGTGGCTTTATGGGCTTGAAAGGGTTTTGTAGGAAAATACAAATGTTTCTGAAAGTCAAAACAACGAACAAAGCCCAATGGGCATCGCTTGGATTAAAATGGGTGGTTGGGTTATGCAGGCATATGAGGTGTTCTAGTCTTACCTCGGAACCCGAATAGATATTCCTGTATCACTATATATATAATTTTTTTTTTTTTTAGGAAAACGTGTAGCTCTAAATGTGTATTCCAACAGGAAGGAGTGCAACCTCATAGTGATCTACTTTAAAGCACTTTGGAGTCCCCTGACTAAATTTATTAGTAATTCAAGTACAAGCCATTTACCAATTTTACCATATTTTCCTTTAAATTAAAGTATGGTGTCCAGCTCCCATTGTTTGGCAACATACGATTTGTAGAGAAAAACATCTCCTCCAGACCAGTGGCGGAGAGGTGGCTAAGGGATTTTCAGAGGTGGCCACATTAGCATGGTACCTGACCAGTGGCGGTTCCAAATAATTCAGTACCAAAACCATTTTATGTTGATTCTATACTGATGGAAATAAAAGGATAGGAAAATTAAATCTATATTTTCCAGACAGACCAGATTTTCATTAGGTTCCCTGCAGATAAAGCTTTGCGCATATTTATGCATTAGTGCCATTTTGAATTAATTTATGGTTCTAGATCATATATGGTAGGTAGCAGGTGACTGCAGAGGCATACTCTCCCCTTGTCATGATGCTTTTAAGTGATCTGACCCACATGCAGAAAACCACTCAGAGAACCAAGGGAAAGTTAAACAGGTTTATTGAGGAGAATCACAGGAAGTTGAATCTGGAACTCAGAGAGCTGATGAACCGGAACTAGAAGTGAGAAGAGAAGGCTTAAAATATCAAAGTAGGAAATTCCACATTATGGAATAACTGTTGCCACTATGAGGCTTAACGGAGAACTGCTTTAGAGGTGGCCAGGGGGCCATGACCTCCCCTCTAGATCCACCCCAGCTCCAGACCCAGTATCCTGTTCCACACCTGGATCGAACGTATCGTTGGCAGGAATCTCGAGAAAATGTCTGAGCAAGGAATTCAGCCATACACTGCAAGAATTAAATATTAAACATTTCTTTAAATAAGTGTATTTACCCTTAATTTGAGAAACTAAATGAAATGATTTCCCAATGGTTCTAGAGTATTTTTACTCATAATTAGATATTGTGCAATTGAAATAAGAAAATGCAATTGTTTTTTCTTACTTTAAGTGTAAATTTTCTTGTTCCATTGGCACTATCACCCGTACCTGCTTAATTCAAGAAAAAAATCCCCCTTATTTCAAGAAAAACACGACTTTGATTTCAATCATTTGAAATATATGGTTCCAGTATGTTTGACCAAGGATACATATAAATGTTGAAGGACAACAAGGACTAAAACTGAAAATCGTTGGTTCATGAAAAGGCTTTTTAATCTTGAGTCTATGTTTAAGACCCCAATTTTAAATCTGGAAAGGAAATTAATTCTTGGTTTGATGTCTTGACAGAGATGAAAATTATAATATCAGACTGAATTTCTGCAATAATTACAGATTCTTTTAAACACTGCATGTATTTTAACTATTATTTTAAACTCTAATCAGCTCCTTGAATAATTTATTGTTTAGATCAAACTTATTTTAAGAATTTCATCTTATCAAATGATCACTTCTGCAGATTCATAGATCCAGATATGGAGTCACATTTGCCATACTTATCATGTACAGTTGTAGTATGGCAAGCTTTCTATAGACAGCACCTGCTGGCCTCAGTGGTGTCTCCGGGGCAGAGGATGAGATATTTGTGTATTTAAGTGTGTGTCAAAGGGGAACACCCTATTGGACAGCCTGGAGCCACAGGAAGCTTCAGAGCTTTAGAGGACTGGGGGGACCAGGCCTAGCAGCGCACAGCACACCCTCCGTCGTTAATTCATTATGTCTCGGGGTGAACGGGTTGACCCCCTGGTACGGCGATCCTCACGCCTACCAACTGCTGTTTCTCGTGACAAGAAGAAGAGTTTGGCACATGGGAGGGCTAACATCTTGGTGAAGACTGAGCCTTCTCATAGGTAGTTACGGCTTGAGCTGTTTGCATGTGTGTCAGAGCATCCAGAGTTTGGATTTTTGGAAATCACTGAGCAAAATTTGGACACTGGATTAATCATTGGCATCATGAACTGGTAAATGGTTGTTTTGTTGTTTTATCTAACTGTTATTTCTTCCTACATTAAACTTGCATTAAACTTTTTCATGCTCAACTTTCAGAGCTTTAATCAAAATTGTTACATATTGCCCACACCATTAAAGACAAATATAAAAAAAATACTCAAAACAAAAAGTCTTGTGTCTTTTCAACTCCTTTAATGACATTATGTGCAAATTAAACTCTAAATTCGGTGTAAATTGTTGTTACTCCTTCAACCCAGAACTAATGTCCTTTTTATTGTCTTCTACCTGGTATATCCCAGATAAGCCCTCATTCTAATAGTTTAGATCTAGAAGATGCTATTTGATTAAGAAAATGCCAATAGGGTAACTTTGCCTTGATTAGCATAATAATGATTTCATGTGCTTGGCCAGCATTCATTTGGTTGCCATAACATTAACAGTAAGATAGAACATAATTATCCTCTTACTCATTTATTCATTAAAGCATTTCTTGCTACTCCATGCCATCTTGCAGGTTGCAAAGATTTCCTGTAACTCTTTAGTTCCAGTATCATGTGAGCTGTGATATGTCAGTCTAGAACGGAGGTTTTCAACAGGAGGGGGTTGCAGACCCCATTTTTAACACAGCTGAATCAAATGAATGGCTCGTTACGATGCCTCTAATGGGCTGAATGAGGGGATTGAGCCTTTCAATTCAGGTGTGTTAGAGAAGAGATGCATTTAAAAGTTACAGGATGGTAGCTCTTGAGGGCTGGACTTGAGCACCCCTGCCCTTGGGGGTTCATAGAGATACTGCATGGGGATTGCAAAAGTTTTGGTTGATTAGACTTTTGTTTTATATTCCCCCCTGCAATTTTTTCCACTAATTAAAATGTCTTTAAATACACATTAACATGAATTTAACACTGTAGTAAACAGATAAATGGAGGCAGAAGATGTCTTTCAGTCAACAATGCACACATTCAGCTACAGACAGGAGCTCTTTCAAGCTGGGCACCGTTTCATTCACAACACCTGTCCCATCAATGAGGAATCAGAATCAGAAATACTTTTATAATCCCAGGGAGAAATTACTGTTGTTACATGACTCCATCTGTAATAGATTGACTATAGGACCAGTTTGATATAACACAATTTCATACAATATGTATAATTAGGGATCCCTGCTCCATCTCGCCATCAGTTTGGGGGTCCTTGGCTCAGAAAACTTTGAAGACCTCTGGTCTAAAGGGAAGTTCCAGTCTGAAAGAGTTTTGCCAAATTTAAGTGCAAGGGGTTGGTTGTAGAAGAGCGGTGGAAGCTTGCAGCCATTGAAGCACCAGACATGTCTTAGTTTGCTTAGTTGAAAAGGCAAAAGCGTAGGTTAGTGAAGAGTTCTTCAAGTCCAGGAGAATGGGACTTGCTTGCATACACATAAAACAGGACCCGTAACCTGGATACATAATTTCCCAATGTACCAAATTTTTTTTTTTCCAACTTCATACCTCACACTCCAACACATCTATGCCTGTTTCAGTCAAACTGCAATTTTTATGTATTTAGCAGATGCCTTTACCTAAAGCGACTTACAAAGTAGGCATTAGCATGAAGGGTATTGCCTTTAGTCCCATACTGGCAGCTTGCCACCCCGGGATTTGAACCCAGGGCCTCCTGTATTTAAAAATGAAATACCATTAATCAGCCAGCATATTTAATAGACAATGACTTTCAGGACCATTTCTGGTTGAATTTGGGTGTGTAGACCTTTTGGAGGTACGTAGATTTTTAGTAAAAATCCTACGCAATCCTTTATAAGTTAGAATCTAGAATTTTTTGTTGAACGCAAAGCATGTCAGGTGCCCTAACTGAGAGGAAGTACTTCTGACAAATACTGTCTTAGACACTCTGCTCTTCTATTGACCTTAAAACCAGATATAGATCAGTGGTGGAGGGAGCACTTTGAGGTTCTGCTCATCATACGTGACATATATTTCATCAGGGAAGCAGAGGTCAAGGAGTCATGGGGGCAGCTATCATTGCCACTAAGGTCATTTGGGATAGTAAAACAACTACCCTTAAAACATTTGCCTCATTTCGTAAAGGTTCTAAGATTTGTAGATGTGTCAAAGTTGGCATACTCAGAACTTTTTATAAGTGTGGGGCAAATTTCTTGAGATATTTCAGAGTGGGATGGAGAATTTTGTCTTTAACAAAACTGCCCAAAATCCGTTTTCCAACTATTGGACAATACAGCGTATTCTTCTTTGATGCACTCAATGAAAGACGGCATGAGGCTCATTTTCAAAAGAATTTAGTTCAGCTTGCCGCTTTTCACTCACTTTGTTGTTTACAGGATGTCATTAACGTTACTCAAAAAAACAGTTCTGCATGTTGCCAAAGTGATTCCTGTCAAACACGAAGAAGGCGGCCTGCCTAAAACATGCAGAATTACAGTAATTCCCATCTCTCTGAGTGACTAACTGTGACTGGCGCTCTGGGCATTTCCTTCACCCCTTCCTTCTGTGCTGTGTGTTTTGGGGTTTTCTTCAAAGGATGCCACCGCAAAGCTGTTTGTGAAAGTTTTTCTGGCTCTTTTATAAATGGATTTAGGGATGTTATTGGCTTAGTCATACGCTTGCAGTTAACCAACATGTGTGAGCTATCATGTGAAAAATCAAAGAAATATTCCCTGGCATGCTAACAGTATTCACCACGTGCTTCATGTTTTCCTTTCACCTGGCTCTGCTTCTCTCTCTGCCTCTATCCAAAGGGTTGCACTAGTTCAGGTTATTACATTTAGATAGGGATTAAGAGAACTCCTGCTTTCACTCCTCATCTGACCGTGCTTAACAGTATATTTATCTTTTTCTCTGGTCTATTCACAGTCTTACAGCACGATATGCAAGTCCTCCAGGCCACAGTGGAATAGGATCACCACAGAAGAAAAACACAAGGTAAAACTCTTCTCTCTACTTACTCGAACATCATTTCTCTCTCGCTGAAAAGGTGTTTTTTCTAGTTTGCACCTGTGCTCTTCATGTTTTCATGATACTCCTTATTATAACCAGCTAGAGGTCAAAGGTTGTTAGGGTCAGATATGCAACACCTGACAGAGATTAAGCGTTTTGCCAGAAGATTCTTCAGCAGGAAGTTTCAGCTTTGATTTATTCCTCCCTCCCTACATACATCCAAAAGCTAGCAGCAAATAAACAACATTTAATTGAAAATTAAGTCATATTAAAAAAGATAAAAGATTTACAGAAAAATATGCCTGTTATGTTTTCCAGTTGGCTGAATTCATGAATGAATTTCATTTTCTTTTGAACCAGGCAAGTCCAACGCTTGCTTAAGGTTGCCCCCTATTGGCTGACATGAATACAGTCTTTTATGGGGCAGCTGAGCCTCAGTAAGGCAAACACGTTGAATGTTCACCACAAATCTAAAACTCTGGACCCCAAGCTGCACATTTAGCAGATGGATTGGTTTATGGATCTGTCTGCCAGATAAGGGAATCAGATTTGGTTTAATTCACTAATATTGAAAAGGGAAAAGCTCATAAAAATTCAGTTAGGCTGCACATTTCCAATCAAATGTTTTTTCTTCTTCATTGGATCTTTGTGGCTAAACTGATCACAAAAAGTAACAACATTTTACCAGAACGAAGACCAGAATATACATTTTAGCTTTACAATGCAACATGATGTTGAGAGATTCGTTATGGGTTATCAAAAAACATCCAAAGAAACACTGTGGAGATGTTAAAAGTTGATCAAATATAAACATTTAACATATAAATTGGCACTGCATGAATGTGAAAGGACTTTTTAGGACTTTGTCTAGTCACCTCTGAGCCATCATGGAGGACTTGGATCAACAAATCTGACAGGTTCTCATTCACAAAAGGACATTAACAGATTCAGTATTTTTAATTTGTAATATTCTCATTTAATATTAACTTTTTTTTTTTTACTTTTTTGTGTCACCTTTTTTCAAAATTTTGCTTTCAAATTCTTTTTAAGGATTTCAAAATGTTCTTTTTAATTTTTGTTTTACATATTTTAGGTTTTCTATTTTTGATTTCCGTTTTATAGATCGAGTTTGACGACTTGCATGCTTTTAAAATTGCGTTTCCCAGATTACATTCTCTTCAATTTGACACACTTCTATTGGTCCAAAAACTCTCAAAATCTCTTTTTATTAAAACCTTTTTTTTTAAGTTTAATTTTTGGATTCCCCTCTTTTGAGATACCCATTTATAATTGTGTTTTTTTTTTTTTTTTTTTTTTTTTTTTGCTTGCAACAACAATGGATTCATATTTACTTCTTATCACTGTACGTAAGAAAAGGTTAGTTCATGCCGTAGGTTTGCCTCCATCGCATGGATTCCCAGATGGGGTTTATTGATACTTTGATATCAGTAAAAAAAAAAGCAGTCAAAGATGATGCTGCTGTTTGTCCTGCAGCTTTAATCCTTTCTTTGATCGTCACTTGTCACACTATAGTCCTGCTCACCGTTACCTGCTGTAATCCATCCCCCATAATCCAGCCTTTGCTTTGCGGTAAATGATTTCTGTCATATGATAGTTTTGTTTGGGCCGTAAAGTTTATCATGAAAGCAACAGGGGGTGATGTTTGACAGTTTGTTGGTCATCTGCAGGCATCAATCCGGCGCCATTGCAGCTGTGTGGCCAACACATGTTCCAGTCTTAAAGACAAAATGATTTTATTTTTTTTTTTGTCAGATAATCTGGTTTGTGTCTTGGACTCACTACCAAATCTTCTGTATGTAACTGATGACTGACAGGCTTCAGTCTTTCCACCCACTGAGCTGAAATTCTATTAGCGTTTTCCCTCCAGGCCTTTTTTTGCTGATGCTTCATCAGGCCTGTAGTTTGGAAGATGAAAGCGTCTTCTGATGAAAGGAGTTTTCTTTGCCTTCCATCTGAATTGCCTCGCTTTGTCTCTCCTATATTCCAATTTTATTTCTTTTTTTTCCCCCTTCGTCTCTGTAAAACAAATTATCCTCCATCATTGCATTTGTTTTCTCCTTTCCTCTGTTGCTTCTTTTTGTCTATTTTCTTTTGATTTCATCATCGTCTAGCCTTTCTCTTTTTCATAGATTGAAAGATTTCCAACAGCTGACAAAGTTGCTGACATTCAGTGATCTTAAACGCTTTAGCTGTTCAGAACTTGTCCATATGTTTCATGCTCTTCTGGCTGCAGCCCTCTGCATTTAGGTAGGCTTAGCACATGACCCAAGGGTTGCTAATTCATACAGCTAAACGGTTGATTGACTTGTCTTCTGCATGTTGGTGGCATTCTTTTCCTGCATCTAAGGAATATTGTAGTTTTGTGCTCAGCATGTTAATTATATCTGGGATAGAAAGTAGCAAACCTACCACCATCCATAATAACTTTTGCTTTAGGGTGATACAGGAATAATTGTTACACCTCACAAAACATTGTAGATATTTGCCTAAAAGTTGAAACATTTGGTCTCATCTGACCAGTGCGCCTCCATCCTCATGCTTGTTTAATATTTCAGTGATCCAACAACTTAACGATTTTGATAACAGCTTATTAATAGTTTGATAGCTTATTAATGCTTTAATAAACGCTTATAAACCGTTTAGTAATAGCTTATAAAAAGCTTAATAGCGGCTAATTTGTCAGAATTTGTAGAGTTGGTAGACAGAGCCAGTATGCAGAGGTGAGGGCAGAGATTGGTTCTCCCTGATTTATTGAAGGTGGTGGCAACAGACACATAAATCAAATAGCAATAAAGCAGGAAACACAGGAACTAGAATAGAGAATAACTAAGGAGGTTTTTACAGGATGAAATGGAGACAAACCAGCAATGAGCAACTGCAGAGAAAAAGTACATATACTAGGGGAGAAAAAATGGAGTAGTTCACTAACTGGGAGCAGGTGTGGACAGAAGGAGCTAGAAGGGAACTGAGGGGAAAGAAGAGTGGAACCAGGAAGCAATGCAGAGTAAGCAGCAAATACAACAGGGCTTCAATATAATCAGAAAGAACTGGGATGGCACAAAAAGGAAATGAGACTACTGACTAAGAAACAAAGAGCAACCAAGTTAAAACTAGACAACAGGGAAAAGACGGGACAAGATTAGATACCCATAAAGCCAGGGAGTAACTTAATATAAAAATAACCACATTAATAAATGACACAAAACTAGAAAGAAAAGACTAAACATAACCAACAAACACCAAATATGAGTAAAACTAGGAAGCAAAAAAAAAAAAAAAACAAGTGAAATCTAATTGAAAACCAGGAACTAACTGAATTTTAAGAGTCACACAAAATAAAACCCTAAACAAAAACAAAAACAAAAAAATTTCCAAAACCATGCAGACCGCCTCAAAGCAATAGTCAACAAAGGATAAAAATTGAAAAGACAGAATAACGTAAACCAACAAAAGGCAAAATTATAAATGACACAAAAGAAAAATTTGTAGAATTACTTCTATAAATATAAAGCAATTATATTAATGTTTAAATTTATTTTAATGACATTTACGTTTTTAATTCACCAATTATTGCATTTTACAATTTAATTGCATTTTTAAGATTTGAATGATGTATTAGATAAATAATAGATTAATATTGCATCTATGTATTATAGATAATTTACCTTAGGGATCACATCATAATTATTGCATTTAAGTAGCATATATAAACCTTTGGCTGCAGTGTATTTTATTCATGTGTAACAGAGTAAAGGGGGCCTGGATTGTTTACAGTAACCTGACAAACTGGGGGATCTTTCTGGTAAATGGGAAGCTGCAAATTAAAGTAAAAAGAGCAGGTGGTTACAACTCCAATCAGCAAGGATTTTAAATTTAGATATGAAATAATAATTTCCTCATTTCCTGGTCAGAACAGACAAGGACATGTCTGATTGTGGGAAATACACGAAATTTGAAAAACAAAACGTCTTTTTCACAAAAAAGCCAATCATGCATGTCGTAGAGCAAACCAACTACAGCTGCTAAATCGGTCAAAAAGCAGTGAAGACATTTATCTTCTGCTGTTGTGATGGTTGGTTAGCTGTGTCCTAACGTGAAAAAATTAGAGTGCATCATATCGGTTTTCTGTTCAGGGGTCTGCAGCGTTCTCCACCTACATCTCCTCCCCAGCTGCGATACAGACGCGGGTGACATTTGCAGCATAATGAATCGATTATCTCACAGAGCCATCAGCACATCTTTCCAACATAAACTCACCAGGAATGGAAAATGTTTTTTTCAGTTTTCTAGAGAATGTTATGAAAAAATCAGGCCGTGAAAAAGGAAGAATAGCCGAGTCCATCTTCTCTGTGCTGCATAATTACCTGACCTGTCATAGAATAACCTTTGGTGGTCCCTGGTGAGGCTGCCAATTCATTAAATTAATGCAGTAAAGCATCTGATGAAGTCTATATGCTGAATCAAGCTGTCATACAACACCGGCAGCTTTTTAATTTGATTATTTGTGAAATTCTCCCCTGGGAGGAATAAAGTTCTCCAGCTGCAGTGAGGCAAACCAAGGTGGGAGGCTGCTAGATTTAAATCTAGTTCAAATTAAATGGATTTTAGGCAGTGAAGTTAACCCATAGTATGTTTACTTTTTCTTTTTGGTCACAACAATTTTATGTAGTTTCTGTATCTTATTTTTGTTTTCTCTAATCTTTCTTTATCTGAAGCCCAACATAATTCAGGTGGAGGAATCTGTCTAAAGACAGTTATTAGTCCTGTACTCCTAAAACATGTCCTTTTTGTAAAAAGGACATGTTTTAAACATGTTTTAATGAAAGCTTTAATAGAGCCAGCAGGCATCATGAAGAAAAGGCTGTGTTCGCATTAAGGTTTCCTGAAGTTAAGTGAATTCTCAACTTTTTGTTTCTTTACACAAGAGAAAAACAAACACTTTAGCTTAGCAGTGGCAGCATCATGATGTGGGGGATTCTCAGCCTGCTGATTTTTCCATCCCAACATTCCCAGATTTAGTTTGAAATAATTTTCATTCAAGCCATAACTTTATTCCCAATGGGATTTTTTTCAAAAATGTTTTTTGTTTTACTTTTCCAAATGTTATGATTTAAATCATTTATAGCCTTTTCAATAATCAGAGAAAAAACGACTTTAGAGTTATAGCAGTCAGTTCCTTCTTATCATAAAAGAACATATATTTTTTTTATGTTTCCATATGTGTTTTGATTGTTTAAACGTCGATAAATCACAGAAGGTTTTGTGTCTCTGCAATGTTCATTGTAGAAGCTATGTAAATGTAAATTTTTGGGTGTTTTTTGATATAACGTAATATTTCGAGGCCTAGCTTCACTCTCTCTGCAATAACAAAAACTTGCTATTTTAATAACTTAAATTCAGCATGCCTTTTGAACAAAAGTACCAAATTTCAAGGCAATGGGTCAAAGCTATTGGAGGAGTTCGATCAAATTTAGAGGCTTTAAATGAGTTACATTTATAGGCCTCTTTTCCATTACCCTAATCTTAAGCCGATTAGATTCTAATCTGAATTCCAGCTGGACTAATAGAAAAGAGCTAAAACACATCTGACAAGGGATTTCAATACATTTGTAGGCAGAAGCTGTACTGTGCTTGTTTATAGATGTTTGAGATCAGCCTGTTTTCCAGTGTATTCCTGTTTCTCTGACTGTGACTGGCTGGATGTGCTCTCTTCACCCTCTGACATGTGAGCTGGCTCGGAGCTCGTCTGCCTGGCTGTGTGTTTCCTGGACGGGGCCGCCTTTTACAGCTGCTTTTTGTATCTCTGCTTCTGTCTCCTTGAACCCCAGTCGGCCTCAGCAGATGGCCGCTCACACTGAGCCTGGTTCTGCTGGAGGTTTCTTCCTGGTAAAAGGGAGTTTTTTCTCTCCACTGTTGTTACAAGCATGCTTATTGTGAGGGATTGTATTTGAGTCAATGCAATCAACTGGTTTTCCTTAGATAGAAAACTTTGAATCAATTTGACTGTATGATCTGGTGAACTGTAAATTACCTTGAAATGATGTGTTGGGAATTGGCGCTATATAAATAAAATTAATTGAATTGAATATTAGTATTTTTTTTGTAAAACACCAAACCTTGTGCAAATCAGTGATTATATTTCTTTTACCACAACAGACTGGAGCGGCTCTCCCTCAAGCTCCGCTGTTGTATTGAGCACATCCTGTTATCTAAACTCTGTGTTTTAACGCCTCTTTCTCCCCGACTAAAAAAACAACCCTTCCTCTGATACATCGATCTGTGATTTCTCTTTATCATCTTTGGTTGTTATGTCTCTTCCTCCTTAAACCTTTGCATATTTTTTCATATTTTAAACACAAACCTCATCGTGTTTTATGGGGAATCTTTTTTTATGAGACAAAATGAGGAGAATAACTTTGAAGCAGAAGAACATTTACGTGGGGCTTCCTGTTCAGTGAGTTGCTTATAATATTATGGTCCAATAAAGGGAAACCAGATTTCGTTTCCTGGTGTTAGATGTTACTTAAGCTTTGGTTTCCATGGTTTCTTCTTTACTTTAACAGTGAACCGCTTCTTTCTTCTGTGGTTGTCCAGGTTACCAGGGCCGTCCAGAGTACCCGCTGCAGGCGGCGGGGCATCCAGAAGCCCAGGCTCATCCAACCTCAACCGCCGGAGTCAGAGCTTCAACAGCATCGACAAGAGCAAGCCTCTCCAGTATGCAAGCGGCAACGATAGAGGTGAGGAATGTTGGAGACGACGCTTCAACAAACACAAAGAGAAAATAAAGAAAAAGATTTTCTTTTCAGATTTTAAAATGTGTGGTCTTTATAGTTTGGATCAATGTTACAAACAAATTCTACTGGACTTGGCAATTTTATTTTATTTTTTTATAAAGCATATCCTGATTGAACGGTTTGTCAGAGAAAGCCTCAAATTTCAGTTTTCCATATACATAATAGTAAAAATAAATAACTAAATAGATTTTTAAAAAGCCTCTATGTTTCTTTTTTATATATATAAAAATTAAACAAATAAATAGATAAAAGATATTAAGAGTAAATAATAGTAAATAATAATTAACTTAATAGATAGAAAAATAAAACATCTTCTCTGTGTCCCTTTTTATTGAATAATAATAAAAATGCATGACTAAATAGAAGAAAAAATAAACCTCTGTCTTTTTTTGATGAATAATAATTAAAATGAATAATAAAATACATGCTAAAAAAGATAAGAAATAAAGTCTTCTCTCTGCGTCTTTTTATATATTATAAAAATAATAATATAAAAATAATAAAAAATGAATAAACTAAATAACAAATTTGAAATTTGGATCTTTATATCACATTACCTCAGTAGACCTCTAAACAGCTTTAAGCATGGTGAAGGAGGGGTGATAATATGGGCTTGCTTCGTAGTTCTATGATCTTGGTACATTGTAGGCAATAATTCTGTAACATCTGACACCAACCATTCAGCATGGTGGTGGAGGGGTCATGATGTGGGCTTTTATCTATTTATTTATTTATTTATATAGATCCACTGGACCAGGCTGTTAGAACCATGAACCTCTGTATGCCAAAGTATTCCTCTATGTGGAAATGTTAAATATTAAATGTTGAAAAAGTCAGCATTGAATCCAGGGGAAAAGTACTGATGAAGAAAAAATAGGTTGTTCTTTGACTGGAGCTCAGCCTCACAATGTGTTAGAAACGAAAAAAGAACGAAGTGCGAAAAAATTAAAAATATACCTGAGGCAATATCCTAAGGTGAGTTGGTAAAATTCCAAACATTTAAATGTGATACCGGTGATCAGACAGAATTTCTTTATCGTTATTATTTTTGTAATAATAGGTATAAATATAATGGAATTGAATGCCATTTTATATGCTTTAATAAATAACTTCAAACAAATCATGATTTAATATCCCTTAGATCTTATAGCTGGTCTAATTTCCTTCTTCCCATAACTGCATCTTAGAGACACATCATTTGCATTTTCCATCTTCACCACATGAGGGCACTGCTGCCACAAGTCAGCCCCGATCCCAGGTATTCCTCATCTACAGATTTAACAAATCTGCTGAATTCTCTCCAGTTCTGATTATGACATTAGAATAATGCGGCAGAAACACCTCAGAGACCAGTGTCTCACTAAAGCACCCGCCCTGTCAAAAATAAGTCACCTTATGAAGAGGGGTGTCACTCTTTTTGGAAAAGCTCTTTCCACCTGTGAGAGTTAATATTAGTATGTAATAAAAAAAAGTATTTATTCTTATATTTTGCCCTCTTTTAAAAGTTTTACCATATAAAAGGGTGAAAGACGTGATGAAAAGCAGCAGATTGATATTTCTACTGCTTTCTCAGAGAACAGTGGTGTCAACCTGTAACACTAACTTTCCGATTGTAAGGAAAAAGACTGAAGAGGAAAAGCTTCACTCTGGGGAGATGAAACTAGCTTGGTTGAAAAGAAAAAGAGAAAAGTACCAACAAAGGAAAGGAAAGGAAATCAATTGCTGGAAAATGTCAGCAACACAGCTCTGAGCTTCAGGGCAAAACGGTCCACAGAGGAGCAGATACAGGAAGCCTGAGCTAAGAGCTGTTTCACTCACATCCCTCAGAAGATTTCACTCTGTTCAGTTCTTTGTTTTTTGGTTTTACATATTTCTCCCCATCAAATCAGACATCCATGTGGTTTTGCATCATTGTTTTTTTTTTGTTGTTATTTCCTCCCTTCCCTTCTAATTCCTTTATTTTTAACCAATATTCCTCCTTTAGATCCTCCTTCAACGTGATCCACATTCTAAAAAACGTTGTTTTTATCTCTGTTTAAATGTTTCTTTGCTACTTTGACCCATTCAGTTTAAAGGTAAAGGGAATAAGATTTTTTTTATTGCTCTAACAGCAGATTTCTCTAAGCCGTTTCCCTGGCCCACAGCATCACAGATGTTGCGTCCTTTGTGTTGCAACCAGTCCAGCTAGTGTTTGTTGCTGAAACATTCGATCTTTGCTCCAGCAGACATCAGCTTGTGGTTCCAGATAAGTTTCAAAGTAGCATGTTTTTATTTTAAGGTCTCTTTAATGTCTTATTGTAATTATGTTTAAAGAATTGATATTTATGAATCTAATAAACCACTATATCATGTTTGAATTGATTGATATTTGCCTTTAGACACACAAATAAACAATAAATGACAGTATATGTCCTTGTAACATAAATTAAAGTCTGAAAAAGGGTCTATTTGCCCACCCTCCAAAACCAACTTAAATTGGACAAGAAATCAGTGCAATATTGGATTATTAAACAAGGGGAAACTGTTGGATCCTTCTAACAGAAACATTATTTACCATCTGGCTGCCTAATGTCTATATAATGTGGAGACAGAACCCCAGATGGCAGTCGATCAGTTGTTGCTTTTTAACTGGGTCTATGGACGGTTTCTCTCAATGATGTTTAGAAAGTCTAACATCAAGAAAAAGAGGCATTTTATTTATCAGCTGGGGCAAAAAAAAAAGAAGAAAAACATCACCAAGGGATGCGGTTGCTATGACAACTTTAAATGGAAGTTAAAGTGAGGTGGTCCTGTGTGGTAGCCTCCAGGGTGGGGATGGAGGATCTCTAAAGGTGGGGTTAATTGAGTGGACTCAGACACTTCATCTCCTTAATGCTTCTAATCTCCTTCATTAACATGTAGAAACCACCTGAAGGGAATAATAAAAATATAGACGCCTTGTTTGTTTACTTCTCACATGTTGCTGCTTAAAGTAGGCTAGTTGTAGAGATCTTTATATTGCATTTATTTTAAACGATTTACTAAACCCATTTTTGCCAAACTTTGTAAAAAGATAAGGAAAAGACCCTTGAAATTCCCCCATCTTATGTTTCAGAAGCTGTTAAAAAGCAGATTTTTATTCTGTTTTGATAAAACAGCAGGACCCTCGCCATACAAGCTCTCAGGTGTGTGCACTAAAGCAGAAGGAGACACAGCCGGCGTTTAAGCCTCGGTTATTTTAATCCCTAACAGTCTGAGCGCTGCGTGACGCTCAGGCTTTTTAAGTTCCGCTTTCAGGATTCAGAAAACAGTTTGTGTCTCAGGCCCAACAAGCTGAATCAAAGCCTTCTCCTCCCATTCCTGTCTGCCTGAAGTGGCATTACAGAGCAGACTGGTGGTGACTCAGAACTAGCTGAGCCCTGCTCACTGGGCTGACTGACAGCCAGACAGACACTCAGCCTATTGGTGCATAACTTCATGGTGTCACCCTGTCGTCTCTCTCCTCCACTCTTCCTCTCCCTCAGTATGTTTAGACAACCTTATTTCCTAGGCTGTGGATGCTGATTGTCTATTGGCTTCATCAGGAAAGGTTATTTTTCTTCAACCGAAACAAAATAATTTAGCTCATGTGTGTTTCTTAAATCCTGTGTTGTTATGTTTTTAGATTAGTTTTTGAGTCCCTCTGTGTTTGATTGGAGGGTTTGCTGCTTTTCTATTATCCTGATAGGGAGCAACAGGTGTTTTCTGACACGAAATGTAGTCTAATAGGTCTGGTTAGAGATTTATGAGCTGATTTCATTAAAAAAAATACCACCTAGTGTTTAATTTTAGTTTAAAGTTTAGCTGTGTATAAAGATACAACCCTCTTGTTAATCCATCCATACATCCATCCCTTATATAAAGCAGGGATCATGTATTGTGGGATTTCTTTCTAAGATACATTTAAGGAACTTTCATAACATTTGGAATATTTTATAATCGCAAAATCTGTTTTTCGTCTTGCCAAACTTTGTCTTCCTTAAGGTATATATGTTCTGGATCTTTCCACATTTCTTTGCAAATTTAGCCACAAACTTATGTTCATTTGATTTATACACGGTACATCAAAGTTACACATATTCCACAACCTTTGACACTAAATATGTATCATAAATATTTCTTTCTCTGCACTATAAAGCTGAGGAATAGCTTTTTGAACAGGAGGATAAAAGGATGCTGACTTTAATCCCCTTTGAAGAAATTAACGCAACCTTTCTCCTTTGGAATTACTTTCTGTAGGGTATTTTTTTACTCTTTGAATGCTTTCATTTTTAGCTGAATTTGTATAAAACCAGAAAGTGAAAGAATATTCTGAAGTAAGCTTTGCTTCCCCATCTTAAGAAGAGATGACTTTCTTCAGTACTAAAGTATTGATAATGTAGGTAAATGCAGTAGTCATCTGCAAACCTGATATTATCTCTATCTTTAATCTATACATGAGTTTTATTTAGCACAACTTTCAATGCATCTTTAATGATAAACAATTGATTTCAAGCAACAAATAATTTTCCTTGCAGACATTGGGCATTGTCCCTACACGATCCGTCCCGGAAGCACAACCCGTCCTGCACATGCGCAAACGGATATACATCCGGGTGTCCATAAATAATGTTGCTTACTTATTTCTATCCTTAACTCACTAAAAGATGATAATACACATCGTTAGAAAATGTTTTATGACATTTGTGACACAATTTGATGCTTTTTACATTTTCTTTATTAAACTGCTTCTCTGACATCATCGGACATGTTCAGAGCAGTCTGGCAAAATATGATTAAACCACGTTTATCTGCATTTTAGTTGTTTCTTTCTTTAGATTACTCACTATATACCATAAGGTTGAAACGAAACGAAAACATAAAACTCAAAAAGACTAGATTTATTTTTAAATCCAAAGCCGAAAAAAAGTAGCCACCGGAAGAAGCGAAGTTGCCCATTTCTGGTGCAAATTATAAAGGATTTTAAGGCATTTATTTTCTCAGGAAATAAATTATTTACCTTTAACACATTATATTTTAGTACGTTTACTATTTTTGGGGAGGAAAAAACATTATGTAGGTCTTTTTAACAAAATAAAATTGAGAGCGAGCCGGATGTCTTGCACAATCAGCTCATTTGCGCATGTGCAGAACAGATTGTGCAATGATACTGCCACCTGTGGCCAACGCACAGAACTGCAGTACTCTACTGCTCTTCACTTGACGTGGAGTGTCCGAGTTGAGCTGGTTACCATCTTGAATAAAACGCTTACATTGTTTGCAAGGTCCGACCCGTTCAAAATGGATTTCCACATCCGCTGAAAATCGCTGGAACTTCCGACCTTAAGAAAATTTTGGAAAATAGGCTACAGCCTTATAGATGCATCGGTGCTGAAAAATTAAGGCATCAATCTGCTCATCATATAAATTTTGATTTGTAAAATAAAATAAAATGTCTTTTTAAGTTGTAATCTAAAATTATATTTCTCTTTTTATTCAGAATCGGTGAGGGGCCTCCCTGTACCCAGTGGGATGAATGGGAGTGGGATGGGTGGAATGGTTCCCACCAGTCTCAGTGGGCAGCAGCTGGCCTCTGCCATCCCCTCACCCACCTCTGGGAAGTCCTGGCGCAGCAAGTCAATGAACCTCAAGCACAGCGCCACTTCCTCCATGCTGGCAAGCCCCACCCATTCACCTTCCACCACCCCTTCACCCCAGGCCCTGGAAGGTTTTCACGAGGCCTCCAAAGTTGGGTTAGGAGCTGCACCTCCACAGAGGTCAATGTTGGAGAAGTTCCGACTCATTAACCCTCGATCAGCCTCAAGAGCGTCACCATCCATGGCGGAAATGACGCTGCAGGAGGAGGATGACCTTTCGGAGTACGGGGACGATGGACAGACCCCGACAGGGTCATTGTGCAGCAGTGGCAGTAGCAGTGCTACCGCCAAACAGAGCTCAACAAAGACGCCAGCGTCATCCGTTTCTGCACCTAGCAAAACCTCTTCTTCATCCTCATCAAAAACCTCTGCCAGTGGCAGCAGGTCCTTGGCCCCATGCAAAGACAAGGAGGATAAAAACAAGTCTGTGAAATCTTCAAAAGACAGCTCTCCACCAAAAGAGGAGCGTGAGAATTCAGCCGACTCCACTAAGAAATCCTCCAAAATAGCCAGCCTCATCCCAAAGGGAGGAAAGTCATCGTCAGGAAAGAAAGATGGCGGCACTTCCTCTGCTGCCAGCGGCATCCCAAAACCAGGGCTTAAAGCTCCGTCCACAACATCAGGCAAACCTCAGAGTCAGTCCCAGAACCAAGCTGCCTTAAACAGCAGCGGCAACATGAGGACAGGTGAAGGAGAGCGAGCCAAGCTGACCAAAGGAGGACAAGGTGGGAGTTTTTACATACAGCGCTCCTCTGGCGGTACGGAGGGGAAACGGACTAGTATGACCTCGTCTACCAGTACCTCAGCCCTATCTGGAACCAGTGGGATGCTTGTAGGAGGAGGAGGTGGGGCACCGGGAGGAAACGGAGTGGTTCTACTTCCACAGCAGCAGCAACACAACCACCCCAATACGGCCACGGTGGCGCCCTTCATGTACAGGTGAGCTGTGAAAAGGTTCAAAACCGATGCCTCTTTGAAATCTATAGGCCTACAGACCTTTACACTCAAATACACACACCCTGTGAAGTCTTGGAGTTTTCCCAGAGATCAGCTGCCTCTCCCCACCATGCATCATGCTCTCGCCTCCACATCTCTTCACAGTCATTACAGAACAAATTAGCATCCTCTGCTCTCTGCTTGCCAAAGCCTATTATTTGGCTGTCTGTTTTTCATCCTTAATGTGAAATTCAAGACATCGGCAGTGTTTAGAAATCCTTTCAGTGTCTCTTTATTCCGACAAGGTTGATTTGACATGTTCAGTTTGGATTTGTCACCCTGATGGTACAGTGATCAGGAACAGAAAACTATTAATGCAAGGGCAACACTATGCATTCCCTTTGAATTATAGATATTTTCACTCACCATCATTGATTTAGTTAAAACTCAAGCCCTAAACTTAGTTAGAAACAATTAAGTGGATAAACCTCTAAAGTCTTCTCCAGTCTACTAAAAACTAAAAAGAGATTTTTAGTTTTTAGTAGTGCACAGAAAAACAGAGCTAACAGATGAGCACGTAGGACGGCCTTACCTACACGTATTCCCAGAATGATGGACAATTAGGAGGACCACTTATTTAGATGATCCACCCGGAAATAAAAGATCTTCCCCCCTACTTTTAATGTTCTTCATCATTAAAGGTAGGATACAAAGTGGGTTAATAACAGAAATAGAGCTTTCATTGTTTTACAGCAAAGACTGGATGGTTAATATTGACAAAAGGCACAAAAAAAAAAATTTATTAGAATGTTCTGCCAAATCTGAGAACGTGTCATAGCAACTGTCTCAGCAAGCACAAAACCAAAATTCTCTGAGAGGAGCTTAAAAAATCGTGTTTTGGTTTTGATCGACAAACCTTCACTGTTTTAAGCAATGACACTTAGATATGTAGCCATGCATTGCTTTAGAGGGGCTCTCTGAGTGGGCTAAACATTTTCCACCTCCAATAAGTTATAAAAAAGTAACATGAATAAGCACCTTTAAAGGTATTGTAGAGGATTATTTAAAAGACCCGCCCTCTCCACTTGAAAAAAAGGGTGTGAGAGCATACAGCCTCAAACGCTTAGGGAAGCAGTTGCAGGATCTGTTCTTTGACTGGGTGCTGTTCGTCAACCACTGAAATGCGCTCACTTGACAAAGATTCTTCATTTTCGTCGCTATGGCAATCCGTTTCCGTGTGTATGTCTGCCATCCAATCTCCTGGAGTGACATCTAGAACTGACAAAGGAATGCTTATCTTTTAAAAAAGCTTTATTTTCAATCATTAGTATCTGATTGTCTCAAGACTCTAGGAGGTAATGACAGGAGATCGCTTGCAATTAAGCCTTCCGTCCTGTCTTTAAACACAGTGATGTATATAATGGGGAAATTGGTCACGTTGTCTAGTCTCTATATCAGTGTCCACCTGCAGGCCTCAACAGAGGCTCCCAGCATGCTTTCGGGTGGTGGGAGGGTTCTCCCTGCTCAACTTTTCCATCATTTTCCTCTCTATTAATCTTGTAAGGGTTTTAGCATATTATCATCCAAGTGTAATAAACACTTTAGCACATCATAAATCCTGTTTAATCAGATGAAAACAATCTGCATCATAGTCTTTCCACTCATATAGATCTTAGTATTTTTTTAAATCGGTGATTGACTTTTAGCTTGAGCTGTGGGTGTGGCTACATTATGTATTTGGTATTCATTTTTATTATACATCAGCATTGTTCAAATAAGCTTTGGTAGAGGATATCTATGCAGCTAAAGGTGGAAGCTGGCAGTGAGGGGAAATAATTCACATGAGCTGAAGTCAGTCTCACAAATGGAAGCCTGCTGTTATCTGCGGTTCTGCAGGTGGTGGCGGGCAGCCGTGTGTATGTGAGGGAGGGACGCTGTTGGCCTTTGCTTAGATCTGTGCGTCTGCTTGTTTCAGCTTTCCTCTTCCCATATTTGCCCCTGTTGCTCTGCATATACTTTAGATTTCTAGTGTAAAGGAGGGAAATCTTTAAAAGCATTCTATGCATGTGTTTCCACAAAGCCATTTTCACCAATTAAAACCCAACATGGTGTTAAAAAAAGTTTATTTTTATATAATAGACAAGCTTACAGGGTGTCTTCTCTTTTCCTTGCAGATTTTAATGTTAGCAAGAGTGCTGCCACATGATTATAAATCCAATAGTTTGGGTCAGCAGATACCCGACTGTTTAAAAACTGAACTGGGTCTGATGACAGACACTGGTAGAACTCTATAAGAAAAATCTCAATGAAGTTATTTAAATTTTACTGGGGAAAATAGCCTATGACTGCATAATGAAATCAAAGTGGAGCAGGTAACAGTTATTTCTGCTCATGTAAGTAAATGCCTGGATTTTCCTTCTTATTATTCTTCCCGCCTGCAGGACGTTCTCAGAAAACGATTGCACCACGGTGGCCCCAGCCGACCCCTGTCTCAGCCCCACCAAGGGAGAGCTGGTCTACAGCAAGACAGCCAAACAGTGCCTGGAGGAGATATCAGGTACGACACACACACAGGCGCGCTGCAGGCTCTGTGTAGCTCATCGCCTTCTCTCCGCTGTGTGGGTGTGTAAATGAACACTTATATATGGGTTGTATTAGGAATTTTACCCCTGCTGATATGCATCTATATTGATTCCAAATTGACCATAAAACTGCTACAGTTCTGATCTGCATGTTTATGGGCTGAATTATTTAACAAGAAATAAAACTGTGTAATATGTATAATATTGTTTCGTTTAAAAGCTGTTTTTATCTTTCAAAGCAAAGCTTTGGTAGCACCAGATGTGTTATTATGGAGCAGATTTTGTTCCATAATTGATGAAAAAGGTTTTGAGAATAACTGTTTTCTCTGATTTTTACAATTGTTTCAAACTTGTTTTTTCTAATGTAATTTTCATTTTTTTTAATTTTCTTTTTTGCAGGTTTTATTGTTTTTATTTCTGTTTTTCTTTCACATTTATTTTTGCAGGTTTAATATTTTCAAAATCATTAAAAACAGTCAAATATAAAATGAAATTATTTGAAAAAAATGGAAAATCGATTTGAAAAAATGTTATTAAAAAAATAACAAATATTTTTTATTTTGCAATAAATCTAAGAGAACAGCACAGTTGCTCTCAAAACCTTTTTATTTTATCTATTAAAGCATTTATCAGTGTTTTATTTTTATTTTTTTATATCTTTTACAAGACATGTTCCTTTTTTGCTGCAATAATGGAACAAAATTGACTTTATATTTCAGCTTATCAGTGTTTACATTCTACAACATGCTGGTGGTGTTTACCTGAGGGATTTGAATGTTTTTTCCCGTTTAATGAACGGAAGGGAAAAGGTCAGGATATATATTGCCACGGCAACAAACAGCATCACCAGAAGTAGATTGCTAGCTTCCTTTCTAAGCCTCTGTGGAATGATTAAGATTGGATATGATGTTATAACTAGTAAAACATACAATATTAGAACTTTTGATTATATGTTAATGAAATGTCAGAGATAAAAGAGTGAAAATGAAGCGATATACTCAACAGGGCGTCACCGTTTTATCCTTCTGATCACATTTTCTAGGCTAGATCATGCAGTGTTTATGATTCTGATGTGTTGTAAGGCATTTTGAAGTGTCTTGAGAGAAAGGTGAGCAGCTCATCCAGAGACTGACGTCATCTTCTCTCTGTCCAAAACAGGCCATCTGATTCTGGCCTGATTGCTTTGCATGATTTGGTTGCGTTAAAATAATTGGTTATGTTTGCTCCTTTACCGTTTCAGTTCAAACAAAGTTCTCTACTATTACATCATATAAGAAGGGATGCTACTGATTGAAAGAGTCTGTCTCTGTTGAGTTTTTGCAACCTAATTGTGGAGCTGTTGTTCTAAGGAGTTTTCCTTCCAGTGAACTGGAGGATGGGCATGAGAGACGTTCTGTTTAAGGAGAAGTCATTTGCCTAAATTCTTAATAAAGACACAAATGGAGCAAAGTGGGCCCAACAGAGAAATAGTAATATTCCATTTTTAAACAGAATAAACTGTCATGAATGAAAATAGAAACATACATTTAGATTGGATAGTTGTTTTTTGTTGTTGTTGTTTTTTTACTGAAATTGGTTTTGTTGCAAAGCAGATGAAATATTGAAGACAAAAGGCTGCTTCTAAATTCTTTAGGTTCACCTTAAATCTTTGGGGTAATTTGGTTTCACTTTAGGAAAGGATTCCCAAACATGTTAGAACTGGGTTTAAAATGGCTGTGCTGCCAGGTGTAGCGGTGTGTCCACAGAGATGATAGTGATGATAGCGATGTTTATAGAGAATATTATTCTAGGACATTCTACTGACGCATTGTGTCTATAAAAGGCGTTCTGATGTCATGTGTTGCTACATGTATTAACCTAAATTAAAAAAAATCAAATACACAATCAAACTGGTTTTGGTGACGGGAATCACTTTTACATCAGAGGTATGGAAAGCCCAAGTAAAAAAATAATAGATTATATTCAGAAACAGATGACAACGTGAGAGAAAAACAGTCAGTTTAAAGAAACACTACCCGTGTTTTGGCAATACTATATATTTTTTTTTTCTTTTCATAAAAAACCCAAATGGGGTATAATTTATGGAGAGCTGTTTTATTCAAAATGAATGAAATAAAGAGAATACAGTTATAAATAAAGTATTAATTATTCCAAATAATCAATACATTTACTGATTAAACAAAACAACATATTTAAAATACATTTTTAGCTTATTTTTCCATTTCTTTATTAACTTAAATACATATTCTTTTTGTAATTTAAGCTGTTAAGACCTCTCTGTGTCTGTGCCAAAAAAACATATGAAATAAAAAAATACATAAAATTAAAAAGGATACATTTCTAAATAAATACATTTTAAAATAACCAAGTATGATTATATATATATATATATATATATATATATATATATATATATATATATAGTATTAAAAATAAAATATCTTGAAAGTAACTTTTTAGAAAAACAAATAACAACTTAAAAATAAGCTAAGAAATATATTTTTATTATATAATTTGTGTATTTCATATATACATTTTATTCATTTGATGGAATATTTATTAAATTATTTAAATTCCAATGAAATGGCTCTTTATACAGATTTGCTTTAGGTAATATGGGTATACAGTAAGTTTACAGGAATATCTGCAAATTTTTAACATAATAGAACCAGCCAACAAACCAGCACTGAAAAACAAAAGGGTTGCTCAGAGGATGTCTATTGTTTATCTTTCTTTTTTCTCAGGTTCAAATGAGCTGCAGCTGCTTTCCTTTAGTATTATTTACATCTTAAGTTGACTTTGCTCCTGTAACGTGCTCATAGTAAAGGTGGCTTATCACATCTTTGAGGAAAATTGGGGTTTTACATTTTAGAGCAGCAGCTTGTTTGATTTCAGTCAGAAATGCTTTCATTGGAACCAAATTCCAAACTCATCATAGAAGAGGAACTAGAGCTCAGCCTGGATGAAAAATCAAAGAAACCAGTCCAAGATTGGAAAGGAAGATTGTCAAGCTGAAAAACAGGAGAAGTCTACAAAGCAAAGTTTTGCAAAAACAACAGCGTGTGATTATAGGTTAAGGGATGTCGAGTGGGCAGCAACATTCCAGCCTTTTTGCTTCGATCGTGGCTTTTCCAAAGCCCGTCATTTGCAGGATAAAATTAGACAAAACGGTGCTGACCATCCTCTTTGTTTCAGCGCCATTATATACACTTGCTTTTTGTAGTCACAGGTTTCAGAGTCGATTCTCATCCTTCGCTTTCTGGCTCTTCCTCTGTGGAGGAGCGGGAACACGTCTCTGACAGGGCAGTTTAAGATTCGGCATACCACAGATACCACATGACAAGCCTGCTCATCCTGCAGACACATGTGGAGGCCACGGCAGGGGTGTCAACCCTTCAGACAACGAAGCATCACCACTTTATAAAACATGTTATTTGTTCTCAGATCAGGACACAGAGCTCTAAATATTAATATTGCTTGAAATGTATCTCATTTGACTCATCAAACCACTGTGTTTTACTTTGTCAATGACCGAGGTAACATTTTATTCTATATATCAAATAAATCAAGTCAAATCAATCACTTATAAAGCCTACAAAATCTAGCTAGAAAAAAATAAATCTATCTATTCAAACCCCCCATCCCCCCCAAACACACCTTTTTATTCCTAAACATGGTGGTGGCAGCATCATGCTGTTGGATGTTTATATGGTTTATGGTTTCTTTTATAGACCAGATAGGATATTTGATGAAAAACTGAGGAAAAACTTTTTAGGATGCTAAACAAACAGCCAGAGCTTTGATTAAAAGGTTTGTATCAGATATATCAAGCTAAGGTTTCTTGGGACACATCTATCCTCAAATTGTAGAGATGTGTATAAGTAATGGCCTACAAATTGATTAGAAGGTGCTGCTGATGTGCCACAAAACTCTGTGGCACAACTTTTTTTCTCTTACCTGATTGATTTTACCTGAATTGAAGTTGACAAATTGAAAGGGAGCGGCAGCCTAGTGGTTAAAGCACATACTCCCAAAGAATGCCACTCTGGTTCCCTGAGCAAGACCCTTAACTCAACTCTGCTCCTTGGGTGCCACACAATGGCAGCCCACTGCTTCCTCAAGGGGATGGGTTAAAGGCAGAGAGTTAATTTCCCTATTGTATGACAATAAATGAGCTTAGATCTTTGCGGCTTGAATGCATACATCTATTGTCCATCTATGCATTTCCTACAGATATCATTGATTGTACTAAACCTTCTCACGTTGAGTCTTTGGGAAGAAGGGTGTAGCTGTACGTCTGGTAATGTATGTGTTCCTACTAGAAGTATGTTGGTACGGCCCTTACAGTTCATATCAAACACATCTACCAAACAAATATACCTTTTCTTTTATTACCTAAACATGTGCAAAATGTTTATGTTTGTATATGGAATCTAATCTGCAATTCCATGTTTTGTAGCTTTTGAAAGTTAAACCAAAAATTGAACCCATACAAGTCCCAGTGCTCACTAATAACTGTATAAATGCAGAGTTAATCTTTTTCTTTATTATGAAAAAAGTGATTCGTATTCATTATGTGGTAGAAGAAAACAAAAATTAGATTTACTTGTTCTTACTTTTAATAAATAGCAGCCAACTTTAGCTTATAGTCAACAAACTGTGGCAGACTTCAGATGTTGCAAGTCCAAACCAATGAAATCCTTAGAGCTCCCATTGGTTAGAATCTACTTATATTTGGTATTGTTGACCTTACTCATAAAATGTTAATCAAATTCGACTCAATAAATTAAAGCTGATACTATTTATACAAAACAAGTAAAGAGCAACTGATGAATAGCTAAAAGTTGATAAAATAACCTTAATAGTATAAAAAAGGACGTAGTTATTTTTTATTTATTTGCTACTGGTATTTATTTTAATATTCACTAAGCCCAGTCATACTTCATAAAGTCTACTTAAACCTCAACTAATTCCT